TAATAAATCATTTTCAAACATAATTCATAACTTTTGTGAAAAATATTGTTGTCAAAATTAATGTTGTTATAAAAATTGAAAAAAAACTATAATTGATTGAAACTACTACTGTTTACAATTTATTTAAATGATGATAACCAATCCAAAACTTATCAATGGGGTAAAGAATAATAATTGAGGGAAGTTGAAAATACTTTTTGAAACAGTGATGTGAATTCATCTGTTTCTGTTTTCAGATCTTAAAATTGTAATTTAATAAATAATTCTTTATTTAATGTAGATTAATTTGAATAAATTTTGAGAACATCTGAATCAGCCAAAGTTATTTTGCTTTTTGAAGCTATAATTATATGAAAAACATTTTTTGAATTTTTGCTGAAATTAAGGTTAGAAATTTTCTGCATTACACTCAAGTAGCCACTCTACTAGCATAAAGAATACCAAACTAAAAACAGAAACTGAAAGCAGCAAAATTTGTTATACTGCATAACATTTTTGGTTTACAGTAACCAATGAATAGATAGCAAAGTAGTAGTGTATTAGATCATGTGCAATTACATTAGTTTCAACTTGCAGTGAAAAACTTAAAATGACAAAAGAAGGTAGTAGAAAGCATGATGCCAATTTAAAAGCATTTGTGGAAGTAAGGAAGTATTATTGCTTATATAATAAATTGGATCCAAATTATAAGTATATTTATTTTAGAAAACTGTCTGGTTGGCTATTGCAACAAGATTTTCATTGAAAAATAGTGTGATAAATTATTTTTAATTCAATTACTTTGAATAAATAATTTTATTATGTTAGATATTAAAAATGATTCTGATTGTTATATTTATTAACACTGTAAAGAGTGAAGTCAAAATAAGGGAAAGTACGGAGAGAGAGAAGAAAAAATGTGTGAATGCATATCTAGAGATAGTAGTAGTTTGGACAATAATTTTCAAAGTTATATTGTTAGAAAAACGATTTCAAAAACATTTTTGTGATATATGTATGTGTGTTCTCAAGTTTAGCATATCTTTTATTTTATTTTAGTTTTTTTTTTTAATATTTTAAGATAAATTTTTTAAATATTTGGTCAAAAAACTCTGGTATCATTCTCATACATTCAAAATAAAATTGTTGGTCATACAAATACATTTTGTGAATTAAACATTAATTGCACTCTAATCTTTTACACTTGTTAGAGAAAACTCAAAAACAATGGTTTAGTTTTTCAGTCACTTCCAACAACAAAAATAAATATAAAGATGGCTATAAATAAAGATAAGCAATTTCATTCATATCATCCATATTGAATTTTAATTACTTTTTCGCCTACTAGAGTGTACCTTGATTTCTGTATGCGAAATCTTACAACAGAATGTAGAAAATTGAAACTATACAAAATATGAAATTATTGGTGATTTCTGTTTTTATTTTCTTCTAAAAACTTTATACCTGTGGAGTTGTCACTTAACTGCAATTTATTTATAATTTGGTCTATTCAGATACATTAAGCCAGATTTAAGTTCTTGCAAGTAGCACTTGTTGCTTGTGACAAAATGATATCATTTTGACATGTCCTCTTATGTTGGAGTTTATGAAAATAGAAATAGCTACTAAATACTGTATATTAGTCTTTACAATAGAATATGAAGTTTATTGTTGCATTCTTTTCAATTACATTGATAAATGCAATGAGTGCAAGATTTTTTTTTTGTTTTAAGAGAGGGAAGTTGAGGCATTGATTATATATGTCGACTTTTGTTAGTGTTATTAGTGGCATATGAATTTGTTTTTATAACTCTACTTACTAATTATCTGTCTAAAATATCAAAATATTTGCAGAATCTTTTGAAATAATTTCTTCAATGTCATTTCTGCATTACACTCAAGTAGTAACTCCACTGGTGGTCTGTGAACTATTGACAACATAATTAAAAGGGGAGATAGTTTGCCAAAAGTACATTATTGTATACAGCAGGGGAGGGGTCAAAAGTAGTTCAAAAACTGTGCAAGTAATTAATGAAAGCTTGTATTTAAAATTTTTAAATTACTAACAGCAAGAAAAAAATTGAATTATCAAAAACTATGTTTTTATAAATTGAACTTTTGAGAATAAAATTAGGCAATAGATTTCTTGAAAGCTTTCATTTTGATATTTGCTATTTTCTTTAATGCTCTAAATTTTATATCTTACTATTTAAAAGTTTAAGTTTTGTTTTTATAGCTTAAATATTGACATCTAATATAATTTTACTATATTAAATTATAATTTGTTATATAAATACCAAATTCCCAATTATCCATGTGTGGAATTATCTGTGCATTGTCAAAATAGTAGAATTACTGTAAAATGACAAAGTATCTTAAACAACATTCAGCTTTTCTGCTTATGCTTAACTGTAAGAGATGAAAGTGAAATGAGTTATTATCCCTGGAATATTATTTTACAGTAGGCAAAATTGGTGCTAAAAACACAATTTGAAAAATATCCTACCAGTACTAAAATATAGTAATTTGGAAAAAATGTAAGAATTATACATAGAAATGATATTTTTGAAATATACATTTTATGTTTATTGATTAAATATACATTTCAGCATATGAAATTTGGGATTCATACTTGCACGGAATTGTGCTATATATATATAATATAGTTCATTTAAAATCTCTGAATAGTTTATTTTTTTAATAGTTTAGAGGGCTATTTTGGATTATCTGTGTTTTTCAGTTTAACATGCATACCTGTGTACTAATAGCATGGATAATTGGGAGTTTGATGTATGTAATTACTTCTGAATAAAGGAAAAAATTACAGAAAATAGAATTAAATATTAATTAGGATGATAAATATTCCTATTAGAAAAACATATAATTATTAAGACAAAATAATTTTGCTATTTTNAATTATGGTAATTTATTAGAATAGGTTAGGTTAGGTTAGAACGTGCGTCCCCACTGTTTCCTTTTGTTTGCTGGAATCAGAGATGAGCCGCCATGACGGCATACGTATCTGGACTTTAACCAGCTTCTTTATAGACCTATATGAAAGTCACTCCTGTAACCGGACAGCCTGGACCACTTCTTCATAATGAAAAAGTTAATAAAAATGTAGGAAAAATAATTTACAGGTAACCCCCGTATAACACGGTAGTTATGTTCCAAAAAATTGCCGTGTTATGTGAAACAAAGAACTAGTACGAAAAGGAGGGTTAGGTTCCAAAAATTAAAAAACATGCTACTATANGTTTTTCAGTCACTTCCAACAACAAAAATAAATATAAAGATGGCTATAAATAAAGATAAGCAATTTCATTCATATCATCCATATTGAATTTTAATTACTTTTTCGCCTACTAGAGTGTACCTTGATTTCTGTATGCGAAATCTTACAACAGAATGTAGAAAATTGAAACTATACAAAATATGAAATTATTGGTGATTTCTGTTTTTATTTTCTTCTAAAAACTTTATACCTGTGGAGTTGTCACTTAACTGCAATTTATTTATAATTTGGTCTATTCAGATACATTAAGCCAGATTTAAGTTCTTGCAAGTAGCACTTGTTGCTTGTGACAAAATGATATCATTTTGACATGTCCTCTTATGTTGGAGTTTATGAAAATAGAAATAGCTACTAAATACTGTATATTAGTCTTTACAATAGAATATGAAGTTTATTGTTGCATTCTTTTCAATTACATTGATAAATGCAATGAGTGCAAGATTTTTTTTTTGTTTTAAGAGAGGGAAGTTGAGGCATTGATTATATATGTCGACTTTTGTTAGTGTTATTAGTGGCATATGAATTTGTTTTTATAACTCTACTTACTAATTATCTGTCTAAAATATCAAAATATTTGCAGAATCTTTTGAAATAATTTCTTCAATGTCATTTCTGCATTACACTCAAGTAGTAACTCCACTGGTGGTCTGTGAACTATTGACAACATAATTAAAAGGGGAGATAGTTTGCCAAAAGTACATTATTGTATACAGCAGGGGAGGGGTCAAAAGTAGTTCAAAAACTGTGCAAGTAATTAATGAAAGCTTGTATTTAAAATTTTTAAATTACTAACAGCAAGAAAAAAATTGAATTATCAAAAACTATGTTTTTATAAATTGAACTTTTGAGAATAAAATTAGGCAATAGATTTCTTGAAAGCTTTCATTTTGATATTTGCTATTTTCTTTAATGCTCTAAATTTTATATCTTACTATTTAAAAGTTTAAGTTTTGTTTTTATAGCTTAAATATTGACATCTAATATAATTTTACTATATTAAATTATAATTTGTTATATAAATACCAAATTCCCAATTATCCATGTGTGGAATTATCTGTGCATTGTCAAAATAGTAGAATTACTGTAAAATGACAAAGTATCTTAAACAACATTCAGCTTTTCTGCTTATGCTTAACTGTAAGAGATGAAAGTGAAATGAGTTATTATCCCTGGAATATTATTTTACAGTAGGCAAAATTGGTGCTAAAAACACAATTTGAAAAATATCCTACCAGTACTAAAATATAGTAATTTGGAAAAAATGTAAGAATTATACATAGAAATGATATTTTTGAAATATACATTTTATGTTTATTGATTAAATATACATTTCAGCATATGAAATTTGGGATTCATACTTGCACGGAATTGTGCTATATATATATAATATAGTTCATTTAAAATCTCTGAATAGTTTATTTTTTTAATAGTTTAGAGGGCTATTTTGGATTATCTGTGTTTTTCAGTTTAACATGCATACCTGTGTACTAATAGCATGGATAATTGGGAGTTTGATGTATGTAATTACTTCTGAATAAAGGAAAAAATTACAGAAAATAGAATTAAATATTAATTAGGATGATAAATATTCCTATTAGAAAAACATATAATTATTAAGACAAAATAATTTTGCTATTTTATATTAAATATATTCTGAGTTTAAATAATAATATTTCTTTTCATTAAAACTTACAGTAGTGTCTTTATATTATTATATATTTTCAGAAAAAAGTTTTGAAAAAATCTTTTACTTCATATCAGAAATGTTAGAAGGACTTGTTGCTTGGTTTTTAAACACTTATGTAGGTGAATATGTGGAAAATCTTAATACAGATCAACTTTCAATTGGTCTTCTTCAAGGTATGTAAAAAATAATGTAATTTCTTTATTATTGATACATTAAATAATTTCTAAAATAAGGCAAATAAAGAAAATTTAATAAATAGAAATGATTGCTGGATTACATCAAGCTATATTATTGCTATTAGCTACTAATTAAATTTCAAGTAATTTCACTTAAAATTTAATTAGTAGTTAATAGCAGTAATATCATTCAATGTAATTTGGCAATTGTTTGGCTTTAATCCAAAAATCAGGTTTGTAGACATTTATATTTATTTAATATTTTAACAAAATTATAAATTGTGCAATAATTTTATGTTACAAATCAATTTGCAATTTTAAATATGTACTTCTGTACATAGAATCAGATTTATCATAACTAAATATAAAAATTTGATAAATATATATCAATGCCAAGCTTTAGCTGATAAGATATCTGTATAATTAAATAATTTAAAAGATAACAGTATAATTAGATTTTAAACTTTTAAACAAGATAGAGTTTCATGATGAGTATGATAAATTTCATAGTGAAAATAATTGTCAGTGGGACTTCTAACAAAAAGTGACAAAAAAAATTAGTAGCTTAAAACAAAAAAATTAATGATTAGATTGCAAATAATGCAAGATAAAAATTTGCTGATTACTTTTTATAAATTTGAAATTTACAGTTAAAACATATTTTCAACATGATTGCAATTGAAAGTCATCATGAATATAGTTGTCAATGAGCTTAACAGTTTTTACATAAAGCAAATTTATTATAAAAATATTATAATTTAGATCAGACAAAATTTGAAGGTGGAAGATATAATTTAATAGTGTAAAAGTGAGAAGTTTAAATAAAAAAATAGTAGTTTCTTCAATGAACAGGTTGCTTGTGAATAAAATGGAGTATAGTTGCTTCTAAAACTTTAATTTATAGCTGTTAATATATTTATTAGTATACTGAAATTTTATGGATATAGCTCTCAATGGCATAAACTGACATAAAATTGCTAAAATGGAAATAAAATCTTTGCATAACCTATCCCACTGTGTATCCCATCCTTCTGCAACAGCCATTGAAAGCTTGGCACTTACTTGTATGAAGTTTAGAAAGTACCATCTGAAAACATTAAAACTTTGTTTTTCTGTTTCTTCTAATTTAATTGTCTGTCTGAATTTTTGTAAAATACTACACACTAAGATTTAAACTGTGTGTTTGGAATCTTTTAACATTAAAAGAAAATTGTAGTTTTGAGTATTATATGAGTCGTTCGCAGGCCAAATCGATTAACTCCATTTGTAAATCGTTACTATTTTTACATTTTTCACGTAACTAATTTTATATATTGTTACATTAAAGCTATACTTTAATATAACGGTATATAAGGATACATTCTACAATGTTTATTTAAATTTAAAGTTTAAAAGTAATTTTAAAAATAATTTATATTATCAATTTTTATACTTTTTGTTTTATGGAGTTAATCGATTTGGCAAGTGAGCGGCTCATATATGACCTACCTGAAGATAACATTTTTGAAATATCAAAAATACTTGCTTGTAGTTAAAAACTTTTCAAGTAAATAACTTTAATGCTGAAAGACAGTTTAGTTTATTCTCATAGTCATAACAATTATTATTTGTTATGACTATGAGAATAAACTACACTGTCTTTCAGCATTAAAGTTATTTTACTTTTCTGTGTCTGAAATGCAATTAAATATTATTATTATTAATTGAGAAGAGTGGGACAGAAGTGGCCATATTTATATTGCTTTCGACTATACAAATTCACCTTGTTAAAAAAAGACGTAAGGTATATGTGGCCTTTTTAGATCTAGAAAAAGCATTCAACTCTATTTCTGTGGATAAGTTATGTGCGAAATTGGAAGACTATGGAGCAGACTCAACATTTACAAGTGTAATAGGGTCTTTGTTTGGTCAGTACATTATTACAATTAAAAGTGGTCTAATTACTTACCCTTTGTTCGAGATATGTGGCGGTTTACTACAAGGTGATCCGTTATCACCCTATTTATTCAACTTTATGATCCATGACTTAGATAATCAATTTATGAAGGAAAAGGATGGTATTATTATTAAGGACAATTTGATAGTACATTCGATACAATACGCCGACGATGTGGTATTGATTTCACCGACAAAAATAGGTCTTCAAAGAAAATTAAATTTAACTGAGAGATACTTTTCGAAGATGGGATTGAAGATCAACCCGAATAAGACCCATATTGTTGTGTTTCGAAAGGGAGGTAAGCTGGCGAGGAAAGATCATGACTTTTATTTGTTGAGCGAAAAATTGAAAGTAACTGAGGAAGTATTATATTTGGGGGTTCTTATTACCTCAACGTTGTCTTTTGGAAAACACATTCAGTGGATGAAGACCAAAGCATATAGAATAATTAATAATTTAATTAGTTTATTTGTTAAAATGAAAACAAATTCTATTCAAATGCAGTTTCGACTGTTTTCAGCGCTGGTTATCAACTCTATTTGCTATGCTCTCCCATTATGGGGTCTGGACTGGTTATCTTACTTTGAAAAAATTCAATTACAATTTATAAGAAAAATTTACGGATTAGACAAAGCAGTGCCGGGATATGCGATTCGCCATGATACTAATAGAATGTTATTAGAGCCTTACTTGGTAATTAGGATCATGAAATTTCTGAAGAGACTGTTAACTAGTGAGAATATACAGGTTAATACAATACTAAAAGTTTTAAAAACCTTGGCAGAGAACAAAAAGAACTATCAAAACAACTGGTATAACAAACTTAGGATCAAATTAGCAAGTTATGGTTTGTCTCATTTATTATTTAACAGTTCAGAAACAGACTGGAATTACGGAATTTCTTTATTGGTGGAGAATATGTATAATAATTCAATTGTTCGTGAGATGAAAAATTTACAGGAGTCAAAATTTCACCCATGGTATATAGTTAATCTAAATTTCCCTCCAGCAAGTAATTATATTCATTATAAAATACCATTTGGGATGAAAAGATTTTATATGCAGATCAGATTAAACAGTTTTTATATCATAGTTGAAGGAAATTATTTGGACATTAGGAATAAACAATGTAAGCTATGTAATGACCAAATTTCGGTGTATCATATAATTAGTTTGTGCAAAGGTTGTTCTAAATTTAGAGAACAGACTGGTATTTCTACATTGTCAGCCATCAAATCTATGCAAGAATTCTATCAAAAAATATTTCAGATGGGTCCAACTATGATTATCAGAATTTATCAGTTCATTGTTAAATATATAAAAACGGTGGAGAGCCTTAAGGAATGATATATATATTTAATTTTGTTGTTGTTCTAATTTTTGTTTAATATTATAATAGAATGATTAAATTTAAGAATAGAAGAAATTTACATAATAATTATTTATTGTCAGAAGATATTATATATTTACTAATATTTGTAACCCAATGCACCCCTTGTAACTGGAATCTTTTCCAAATTACGTTAATAAACTTGAATTGAATTGAATTGAATATTTGCATGTGTTGTTATAATAAATATAAACACTTTGTATGATTAATTATTACATTAATGTTTATTATACATTTTAAAGAATTTGTATATAAATAATCTTAATTTCTAAGCCAAAATACTAATTATTTTTTTCTAATTTAATATATTGTTATAATGATCATAAATAAAAAATAGACTATATATTTGTTTTTATTCTGAACTCTGTATTGTTTATAAAATTGAAAAATAAACTGATAATAATTATTAATTGCTAAGAATGTTTAGGACAAAAGTAAAACTGAATTTTACAATATTACACTTGTATTTCAAATTTATCTTATTTAAATTTGTAATAATTTTTTCTGTTTTGTAATGTTTAAAAACATTAAATTTTAAATAATATTTAATTTGGTATTGAATAGTTTTTTTATATTCATGACTTGTAAAATATAATTTTTACATTTTCTAGGAGAAGTAGAATTAGAAAACTTGCCCTTGAAGAAAGATGCATTAAAATATTTAGGGCTTCCAATTGAAATTGTAGCAGGTATGCTTTATTTTTGTGTCAAAAGTTAATAATAATGATGTGTATATTAAAATTTTGTTAAATTTTTAAAGGAGAATGAAAAGTCAAGGTTTTAAAATGAATTTGATTTGAGATTTTAATTGGAATTAACTGGCATTTTAAATTAAATTAAAACAAAAAAAACAGTTTTTTTTGTACCCCAGAGTCATAAAGAAGATTTTAAAATGAACTTTATGTTTGGAATATACAAATCAAGGAGAAATATTAACAAAAGGAGTTTATGAAGAGCATATATTGCAGTTTATAGTTAGTTACATAATACCATTTTATATGGTAATTAGTAATAATGAAATAAATTTTTATGAATTAAAGTATTTTAATAAACAGAAATTTCTGAATTCTGTTTTTGAGAGCCAGAGAAAAGTTGGACTCTTAAATATTGAATGTTAATCTTTTAAGTAATTACTTCTCTAATTTTATGAGTAAAGTAATTAAAAACAATTTAAATAGTTTGCAGTTTATAGTTAGTTACATAATACCATTTTATATGGTAATTAGTAATAATGAAATAAATTTTTATGAATTAAAGTATTTTAATAAACAGAAATTTCTGAATTCTGTTTTTGAGAGCCAGAGAAAAGTTGGACTCTTAAATATTGAATGTTAATCTTTTAAGTAATTACTTCTCTAATTTTATGAGTAAAGTAATTAAAAACAATTTAAATAGTTTAATTTATTGTAAATTTGAAACAAGTTACTGTTTATGTAACTATAAATTTAATTTTCATCAAAAATGAAAAAGGATAAAATTTTTTAAAATATTTACCAGATAGCAAATAATAATACAATGAAGTTCATTAAAATTAAATCTTGGCCGATGGTATTTACATTAAAATATATATATATAAAATTTATCAAAGCTACAAAATTGTCTTCATGTTCCATCATTAAAAACATCAGTGACATCCAAAAACAATTTTCAGTTACAAAAATAATACAATTTTCTAATCCAGTTAGTATGATGTAAGTTTGAACTCATTTGAATTGATTCATAATATCCTATAGAGTTGAAACTGAAAACTGTGATTATTTTGAAACATATAAAAAAAATTGGGAGTAAAAATTGAAAAAATTTAAAGTTAATATTTTACAAGAAATATTTAATAGATAATATTAAAATACATATGTATATTTTTAATTTAAATAGGATTTATAGGAAAAATTCGTCTTCATATTCCAATCTACAGATTGAGAAGTGAACCTTGGGTAATAAACATTGAAGGTCTTTATCTGGTAGCTGGTAAAGTATCAAATAATGAAGTAAGTGTTAATTAATAAAGAAAAAATTATGATAATATAAAAATAGACATAATGTTTTTCTTTTTCTACTAAAATAACTAAGCTCTGAAGCCTTTGAGCTTAATTATGCTATATTATAAATAGTAATAGTGTAAATACTATGTTAAAAAATATTATTATCTAAAGGATTTACTTATCTTTATTACAATTTTTCAATGGTTTACAGACATATTTAATACTAAATTTTAAGAATAAATATTGTATAGCTAACTTGAAAATTTTATTGCATATTGAATTTGATATTATAGTGCTTATAATATAACATGTTAACTTCAGAGAATAGAATACAGTGAAACCTTGTTATTTTGAAACTCAAAGGACCAAAACAATTACTTTAAATCTGGATTTGAACCACCTTGAGTTTGAGATTACATTGTGTGATCTGATGAAAACAAGCTCTATTAATGGCTAAAGCTATAAGTACACATTCTATTGTGAATACACATGTGTATTTAATGGTCTTTAGAATTATTGAAACAATAGATTTTTGTGAAAAATGTCAAAAATAATTAAATGCTAAACAGATTTCTTCCATAAAAATAAAAAATAAAATTTTTTTTTCATTGGCAACATGTACAATGTCTGAATGACCTTTAATGGATATCCAGTAAATCAACAATGTATAATTGGCAAAACCAAAACTGTCACTTGGGTGTGGAAACTTTCTTATAAACACATAATATGATGGAAGATTATGAATTAAATGATATTTTTGCAGGTCACAGGACTAGATAATGACTTTGAATTTCATTGTATGCATATTTTGAATTATCTGAACTAAAATATATGCAAAATTCTATTCTCTTTGCCAGAGACTAGACTAGACTTCAAATTATGTGATGCTTTGAATTATCTGATATCGAAATAATGAGGATTTATTGTATATTAATTTATAATTAATCATTTTTCATTCATAGCAATTTAAAATTATAAATTTGCTTCTTAAAACATTTTAAATTTCAGTATAATGAAGAAAAGGAAGAACAAGCAGCCCAAACCAGAAAATTATCACGTTTAGATGTTTTAGAAGCAAAATGGAAGGTATTTAGTTATATTTATGAATTAAATTTATCAAAATTAGTTATTTTGATAAAAGTATCTATATTAACTACTTTCTGAAAACAGATGTTCAGGAGTAATTTTCTTCTATTAACACATTGACTGACTGCCAACTAAGAGTTAATTCAAACATATAGGCAATGGTTTCTTTTAGAATGCCTCCTATGAGTTAACAATGCTTTTGAGCTCAAAAGCATTGTTAACTCATAGGAGCATTCTAAAAGAACTCGTAGCTCAAAAGCATTGTTAAAACATTCTTAAAACATTTTAAGAAGCAATGTTTCTTAAAACATTTTAAGAAACATTGCTTCTTAAAATGTTTTAAGAAGCAATGTTTTAGTTACCTGATAATGATCATCAGTTTTGGTGTCGTTTTCAGTCATGCTAATATCAATGTTTATATCATTCCAATTGTCATTCTAGTTGATGCACTAATTTTATTCATGTCAACATTTACTGTGGCAGCCTCATTGAGTTCATTGAGAATAGCAATGGAATCTGCCATTCTCTCTATATTCATCATGCAATTGCCATACATAGTGTCCAGTGACAAAAAGTGCTTTATGAACTATGAACTTTGCAAAGCACTTTCAGGTTTCACTTTATTCTGTGCACTCCTAATCTGGTTTAGGGGATTAGCAACATTGATGGTATTAACCAATTTGCTAAAACTAGTGGAAGCAATGGTTGCAGTTTTGCATTTGAAAGTATTTGGAAGTTTAATTGAATTTTGTTATTAACTAGTTTGTAGAGTTGTGTGGTTTTTGTCCAATTTCCCAACCATAGAACACATTAGTTTCTTATAATAATAGATCTTGAATGTGTGAGTGACACTTTGATCCACTGGCTACAAATTTCATGTTGTTTTTGATGTCACGGTGGATGGAAAGAACTTTATCTCCAAATTTGATAGGTTCTCCATACAATGACACAGACTCTTGTCTGGAAAAAGTAAAATGTTTTAGTTTTGCTATTATATTTTTTAAAATCGTTTAGTCTTTTGTAAATAATAACTTATATTTTACAATTCAAATAGCCAATTGGCAATTGAATTGTAAAATTAAAGTTGTGGAAAATTTTTGGGATTAAACTATAGTATATAAAATACTGGGTGATTATACTTAAAGTACCTCTATTTAATTCTATATGGAAGGATAAGTAGCAATCCAAATTTAACAAATGTTTGTATACTGAGTTGCTCTGCTGAATTTTTTCTCTGCAGAAAAGATTTCTGCAGAGAAAAAAATTGTTTTCAAACTCACCACCATGGGACTTGTGGCATTGTGACCAAATATGTATGTATGTATATATACATATATACATAATGCACACATGCTATGCTCAGTTTTTGTGTATAAAACTGTCTAATGCATGTGAAATACAATTCATGGTTACTGCAGGCCAGCAGGGATGCTTATAACTGTGCCTCAATGCACCTTTCACAAAATTGTTTAATGAAAACAATGCCAATATTGTAAGTGCACTTTGAGAGTTACAATACTTTAAGAAATTGTGCCAAAGTTTTTTGCCACTTGCAATGCCAAACATCTCATAGTGGTGTTTTGGAACTATCCCAATTTAGCTTTGAAACTAAATTTTTTTTGCATATCCAGAAACATCAACATACAAAATTTGATTGAATTTGGACTGCTACGTACGTCTCTGGAGGGGTATTTTAATTATGATCACCTTGTAGATCATAACCACATCTTACATGCTCTGCACGTAAGATATGGTTATGATAAGATCCCTGAAAATTTCAAAACAAAATGAAACAAAATTTTTATCTGTATATAAAGATCCTGATGGATATTATTTTTATTTTAAATTCAGGTTAGACAGTTTAAATAAAGAATGCCATATATACATACAAATATATTAAAATTGTATTTATGATTTTAATATATTTGTTTTTGTCCCTCTCTAAGAGTGGAGACAAAATATCTTAATTGTGATGATGTCACAATAAATAATTTATTAGTGGGATTAGTTTGGTTTATTTGTTTACACTCACAAACATTTGAGTGATCTGTCAAAAGGGATCATCCTGGAAAAACTTATGGGAAGCTGGACCCTATTTAGGGGTTACTTATGTGAAGAAAACCCAGAAAACTCCACATGGTCATGTTGCTGACCATGCCCGAACCCATGACTACCAGTGTTTGGTGGTTCTATGCACTTAGCTACTGGAGGGCATTTGTTAGAATTAAGAAAGTACTGTTTAGAAATAAAAAAAAACCTAAGTCATTAGATGTGGGAAATTAAATACTTGTAGACTTTTCAAAGGGTAACACTTTCGATTCTATGCACACTAATGCTATATGTTACCTGTCTCAGTAATGATATAGTGTGTCTGTTTTGTACTATATTATTGTCACAATAATTAAGTGAATATAATATATATATATATATATATGTTACCGCTAAAGCTCGAAATCCGTTAATGTGCGCATTACCTAGCTAATCTGCAGATTAACTAGGGTGATCCGTTAAAGCTGCGAAAATTATTCCATTTCTCAAATTACCTAGGTAATGTTCAGATTATCTAGGTAATCTGCAAATTACCTACTAGGCACTCGGTAAAGTGAAAATAAGATTNGCTATAAACAAAAAATTGTAGGATTACTTACCGAGTATGCACCATTCGACAACCCCATTGCTAAAGCTTGTTTTCGTCGTGAAGCAGCACACCAAACCACAGCCGATTTCTGACAACTTATTTTTCTGCGAAACTTCGTTGAACTTCGGAGACATCATTAATATAAATAATTTTAATCGCCGTTGAATAAGAAATGTTTCTTTCACAAGAAATGTATAAAATTACAGTACTGTATTAGACTTATGGTACCTAACTTACATACTGTACAGACGATAGTTAGCGTAAAAATCTCCGTAGCATGGCGCCACGCTAGACGGTGGAAATTATATATTTAATTATAACAAAGTTACAATAAGTTAATATATAATTATATATACAGTACCTAATTTATATATAATTAATATATAATTATATGTACAGTACCTAATTTATATATAATTTATATAATACTGTCCAGACGATAGAAATCTCTCCGTAGCGTGGCGCTACAGACGGCGGGAAAGTAGTTCGGCTGCCCGATGACGTTTAACGTAATTATAGGGGGTTTTTTACTGTTTTTTATGGATACCGTCACAATTTTTTTGCAGTTTTATAGGAATCGTAATTATTGGGACCGTAATTATAGGGGAGTCGACTGTATACATATACATATATACTAGCTGTTACCCGTGACTTAGTACATGCAGATTTTGTGAGCAAACCCCATTTATAATCAGTATTTCAACAACCATAGTAATTGTTATATAACACCTACTGCTGAGAATAATGATAATTGCCGAGAATCAAACAAACTATTTTCAATTTGATCAATTTTCTGGAATGTATACAATCGTTCTATAATCAAACCAGTATGCAATAACAAATTTGAATTTAAAACAGTTCGAACATTTGGTTAAAAAATCGAAATATGTAAAATATTTATAACAATGTCTGAAATGTTATCAATTTAATACACCTAAATACTCAATGAAGACAAAAAATTGCATCTAAAATAGTACAGTAGAAGCTGTTCTTCAGGTTAAGCCTTAATCCTCTCCCTCTCCCCTGTGGGGGAATTTTGAAAAATCCCTTCTTAGTGTGCGTTTTTATGATGTACCCTGTGTACAAAATTTTACCTCTAGGTTCAGCGGTTTGCTCTGGGCGATGATGAATCAATTAGTCAATCACTCAGTCAGTCAATCAATCACTCAGGACAAGTAATTTTATATATTTAGATATATAGATAACATTTTTCTTAACATATAGATAACATATTCTTTCATTTATTATAATATATTAAAATTTTTAAAATATTTGTGTATATGATAAATTTTCTATGTTTTCAGGCTGAGTTTGAAAGACAAGATGAATCATCATCATATTATGCACATTCTTATTTATCATGGCTATCATACGGAACATCATTGATGTCAAATATCATAGAAAATTTACAGGTATGAAATTTATATAGATGTTTAAATTATATATATTAAATTATAATTAAGTGCATTATGTTAATATCATTAAGGATGATATTAATGTAATACAGTTAAATCTCTGAACACTGGCCACTGATGGGAACATAAAAACTTGTTGTTTGGAGTTCATTTTTTATGCATTTAAAAAAAAATCTGAAAAAAATGGCCACTGTTTATAAGTGGCTGTTGTTGGAGGTTCAGTCAGTTATATAAGAATACTGCTGATATTTATTTTTTAGATGTAATACTTTTATAAGTATATGTAAACATGTTCAGTGATTGGATTCTGCCAAGAAAACTTTAAGATCATCATATATATTTTCATAGTTAATGAAAAGTACAGTACATGCAGTTTTCAAAATACTGTATATTTATATAATGCAAATAAAATACATAGAAATAATCAATATAAGTTACAAAATAAATTTTTAACAGAAACTTTATTTTGCTATTGCAGAAATTTTCAAGGTTACTAGCGTGAATTCAATATATTTTAATTTAAGTTATAATAAAATCACAATGAGATTTTTTGTATTTTGCTTTTTCTGACAAATTAAACTTTTTTATACAGTGGGTGATTGGATAACGAATATAATCCATTCCAAGACTTTGTTCATTATCTGAATTGTTCGTTAATTAACTGATTATCAATTTACCATAGGATTTTATGGGAATTTGATTAATTCGTTCCTGAGACTCTAAAAAATAAAAAAAATGTATACTTTTTTACTACATTTATTTATATGTAATAGTCAAAATACGTAGTCTTGCAGTCTTGTCTTTTTATTACTCATGTTTTTCCATTTGTGGTGGTTAAAGAATCTGTCCAATGTCGATTGCTTTTCTCTTTTCTTCAGGATTTTTGGAAGAAATTAATAGTATTGTAATTGTAGAGATCCCCAACCCCATTAACCTTATTCTGGTTTGGATGCCACTTGGATGATCGTTGTTCCGACATCCTCCCACTTCTTCAAGAGATCTTTAGTAGCAGATGTTAACATTGGTCCTCTTTCATCTTCCTCATTTTCAAAACAAAACACATCTTGCAAAGTTTCTTGGTATTCTTCATTTGAGAGTTTTTGGAGTTCTGTTGTCAGATCAGTTTCAGGTTCCATTATGAGCTCTAAAATGCTCTTTGTTTTTCAGATGTGATTTTCATTACTCCATTTAGCAGCTTGAGACTTCTTGATATATCTTTCATAGTTAAGATTGTGTCTACTGTAGAGCTGTTCAAGCCATACTGCCTAGCAACATCAGACATTTTGTGCCCACTTTCTACCTTGGCTATTATCTCTTACTTGGTTTCTATAGTGAGTGCAGTTCTTGACACTCATCATTTTTAAGCTCCATAATATTATCAGTTTCTTTTTTAAATAAAAAGTTCAGAAAAGCACTTACAAAAATTCAGAGAACAGAAATCAACTAGCCCACGAAAAATTATTTAAATGTAAGGCCTGAATGAAATTTGAAATTTAGTATTAAAACATTAACGAATATCCAATGGGACAGTTAAACTTTCACCTTTCGTAAATAAACCCTGATGCAAAACTTAACAGTGCTCATCAAACAGTCTCACGAAGACTATAAAAAATTATTTGTCAGGAAGGTAAACAAAAAGCTGGAATTACAAGGGAGAGTTTCAAAATTCGGAGGAATACTATTTGATCAGTATCGGGTTGAGCATCGATGTTGTCGTCTCTTGTGTTCCAAAAGGTTTTGAATTGTTACCTGAAGACAAGGAAAAATCAGTTGGTATTCGTTATTTTCTGTTCCTTTTTTTTATGTTTGTTCGGTAAAGTGTTCGTTGTTCAATCATAAAAATCTTTCGCGAAAGTGTTTGTTATTCAATTTGTTCACTATCTGAACTGTTCGTTAACTGATCACCTACTGTATTATCAAATAACTTGAAAATTTATATCTACATTTACTGTTAATAGAACTTGGTTAAAAATGTAAAATGTGATTTATTTATAAAATTCAACACAAAATTCAAAATAATATTATTTAACTGGATAATTTATTTATTTCTCCTGATTTACATTTAAAATTTACATATTGACAATTCTTTTGATACATTAATTTGTACTGTAAGTCTAGCTCTTCAGTATACTATGTATTCTGTTTAAAGTTTTCATATCTGCTACATTTGATTTGTTTCTTTATGACCCGTACTCTCTACCATATTCATTTTGTTAAACAAATCTGAAATATAAAATGTAAATCTCTGCTTATGTTTTTCACTTCTGTTTTGTTTCCCTAATGTATTAAACAGTACATCATTACATAGTTTAATATTAGGTTGTTCGGAAAGTAAGTTTGTTTTTTTTACCACTAGACAGATTAATCGTATTTTTCCCACCAATTTCATTCTAAACTGTATTATCTATATATATATTTTGACAGCAAGCATTTTAAGGCTTATTTGTAAAAAATTTTGTTTGATTCTGTGCAATTGTTTATTTTTTGTGTCCCATCAAACATGGAAGATCGAAAGCACCATTTTTGGCATATTTTGCTTTTTTATTACCAAAAAATCAAAATGCTGTTCAAGCAAAGAAAAAATTGGGTACATGTATGGAGAAGATGTATTGACAGAACAACAGTTCCAAAACTGGTTTACAAAATTTCGTTCTGGCAATTTCAATATTGAAGATGCACCACATTCTGGATGGCCACTTGAAGCCAATGAAAACAAAATAAAGACACTGATTGAAGCAAACTGCCAAATAACAACACATGAAATCACTAAGAGATTAAATTTGTCAAATTGAACCGTTTATGATTACTTGAAACAAATTGGTTTTGTTTCAAAACTCGATATATGGGTTCCATATGTTCTTAAAGAGAGAAGCTCTTTTTGGTGGGATTTTAAGGACATTTTTTTGGAGCTTTTACCAGACAATTTAACAATTAATTTGAAAGTGTACTGCCATCAAGTAAACAAATTGTGTAATATCATCAAACAGAAAAGGCAGCCAGAATTGATAAACAAAACAGGGGTAGTGTTTTACCATGATAATGTGAAATTTCACACAAGCTTGGTAACTCGTCAGAAACTGTTATAACTTAGATGGGACGTGCTATCACACCAACCATATTTGCCAGATCGAGCACACTCAGATTATTACTTGTTCCGGTCTATACAAATTTTTTTTAACTGTAAGACATTTACTTGAAATGACAATGTCAAAAATCACTTGGATCAGTTTTTTGTAAGCAACGATCAAAACTTTTATGAATGTGAAATCATGCTACTACCAGAAATGATGACAACAGGTATTTGACCAAATTGGTTGATATATAATTCAATAAAATATTTATTTATTATAAAAATATTGTTTTTTTTTTTTTCACAGAAAAAAAACGAGCTTACTTTCTGAACAACCCAATACAATAAAATTTGCTGTTGCTTTCTTGAATTTCTTTAGATGAAATATATACTTATTAAATATAATGCTTTTTTTTTATAGTTAAATATAAAAGACATTCACATACGTTATGAGGACAGTTTCTCTCAGGGTAATACTTCATTTGCTTGTGGAATTGTTATACAACAATTATCTGCTCAGAGTACTGATGAGTATTGGGTAAGTTTATTATAATTAAGTATAATTACTAAATTGTTATATTAAAATTATTTTTGAATAGTTCTGAATATTAGTATTCTTTATATATATATAGAATTCACTCTATATATGTAATGCACCTTATATTTGATGCAAAGTTGTGCCACTAGTGAACAAAGGAGAATAAGCTCTGAAGTTTTGAAAATTGTTTCACTTACACTTTATGTTGAATGGTTACCCAGAAAAAAAATATTTTGCATGATTTATTAAACTACCTTTGTAGTATAATTCAGGATTGGTTTTCTATATAATTTATATTCTGGGGTCTGGGTTTTTATATTTAAGACTTTTTCTTTAAAGTTACAGTTATGCCTCATATAATGTACTTAATCTGTTTCAGGTGAATGTTCGTTAAGTGAAAAGTTCGTTATACGAAACGCATTTTCCCATAGAAATACATGTTAAAACGTATAATTCGTTCCACAGCATAAAATAACCATACTGTACCATAAAAAAAATGAAAATGGAGCAGTCACCAATTATGCCGGTAGTCAGATGTTGTGAGGAGGAGGTGGAGGAACACTTTATTCACACATTCATACAGATACAGACTTTTTACACATTGCAGCAGGTCTCTTTTTATTGTTTTTTAATCATGGTCAGATTCAGGAGAGGCTACTGGAGCTTGCAGGGTCAACTCCTCTTGTTCCATCCTTTGTTTTTTGCCAGCTGGCTTCTTGAAAAACATGTCCAAGGTGGTCTGTTTCTCTCTCTTTTTCAACAACTCTCGGAAATGACGGGCAATGGTGTCATTGTAGAGATCATTAATGCTGTTGGCCTCAACTGTATTTGAATAATGAGTAATTGGTAAACTCCCGAACCTCTCCCCATTTGACAAAGAAGTTTTTTTTGTCAACTTTCACTCCTGATGATTTCTTGCTTTGTTTCAATTGAAATCAACCTTTCTGTTTTTTAGAAGCCATGATTTGCACAACACTTGAATAAATGTAAATACCCTGCACTGAGGTGATGTATTGTACGTAATAAACAAGGGAGCAAGCCGAATCCCAACGGGAGCTCGGTACTTCAGATATACTAATAATATATTCTAGTAATACTAATACAGTAGAACCTCCATTATCCGGATTTTCGATTATCCGGATTGTTCAAAATAAACAAAAATTTTGTGAATTTGCTGATTTGCACTTGGCGAATTACGACACTCTTTATGTACGTGATGGAACGCATAACTTTTTTTGTTTCAACAACGTCTCACCCATCACAGTGGTCGTAAACGCTTAAATATATTTTACGTAATAATAAAAATATAACTTGACATACGTATTTATAAATAATTTATATTCAAATTACATCATTTCTATGACCAAGGGCGGCGTAAGGCATGGACGACGTGGGCCACCGCCTATGCCTCGCGGTCCGAAGGGCCTCGCGCCTCGAAGGTTTATGCATTACTTAAAAGCCGCGAACGCGACGAAAAAATTTTACTCGTCATAAAACGATAAATAGTTTGTCAAATTTTTATTCATAAAAATGCAGTTTCAACTGCTTTTTATTTTATAAAATCCGTCTTCTTGCGCCACCAGAGGGCCTTTTAAACAATAGGTAGTCTGTTAGCGTTGGTCAGTAGTAGTCCAAATTCAATACGAACGTTTGTTTCTTGAAAATTTGATCACGATTTAAATACAGTATTTACTTTTAATATTACCGATATGTCATCGAAAAGAAAACGTGTTGTATTATCATTAAAAGACAAATTAAAGTATTTGTTTCGATTATCCGGATTTTTCCTTATCCGGACTACCTTCATCCCCAATTAGTCTGGATAATTGAGGTTCTACTGTATATTATAAAAATAGAAGATTATCATTGGCAACGGCAAAAGAGTGGAAACATCATTCGCACTTGTTCGCAGAAAGTCCATTGTTTGCCTAATGTAACTGCCGAATGGAAAGTCCATTGTTCGCAGCCAGTCTGTTGCTCGAGTCACGTAACGGCCAAACAGAAAGTCCGTTGTTCGAGGCATACGTTATACGAGGCACCACTGTACTAATAAATTTCCATTGTTACTGTGGTTTGAAAATCACACTTTGTAATTTTGTTTATATAACTGTGATATGTTCTTTAATTTTTATTTGAAAATGCAAAAATTATGTTTTATGATTTACAAGACTATTAATAATAAGAAAGGACTAATTTGTAAAAATTTTTTATTTTAAAGTTGACAAATAAAAGAAATTTAAATTCTTGAAATATTTGAATTAATTTAATAATTTATTTTCATTTTTAGATACCAAAGTTTGTCATAAAAGATAAAGTTAATGTCATGTGCAAATTATTAGAAATTGGTGGACTTGGTATTTATTGGAACACTGATGTAGAATTAATAGGACATCTTCCAATACATGAATTGACAGTATGTATAAAGTTATTTATAATTTGATATTGGATTAAAAAATTAAATATTATTAAACAGAAGTTGAGATTATTTATATAGTTTAATATTCAAAAAGTAATGTATTATAATGAGTTATTACATTTTAAATAAATGAAGCTAAGATTTCAATTAGATTTGGTAATTTTAAACATTACTGTCATAAACAGATTGTGGAACAAACATAAGATAATGTTAAAAATGGCACAAAGACACATTAACATTTGTGTTGCCATTGAATATATTATCAATGCTGTCAAACCTCAAACTATTCACTTATTTCATTAAGTCTGATGTTGTAGAAAGTGAAGAAATTCATGTTAATGATAACACTCAAACAAGCTGATAATTAGTTCTATATGCTAACAAACATCATCACTGATATTAATTGTTCATATGAAGACTTTATTTATGCTGTTAATTTTATGACAGATTCCTCTGAAATATTAACTGATTGAAAAATACAAAAAATTTAAGAAAACACTGATTTTGATCATAAACTTCTCATAAGTGACAATAGAGAAAGAAACTAGTAATGACATTGCTGCTAATCTGACTTTATGCAAAGCAATAAGAGCTTATAAAATACTGTTAAAGTTTTTTGACTAAAAAATATGAACATTTTACAATGCACATAAAGAAATTTTTGAAATTTGTAAAAGTTAAACACAATCATGTATAATCAGCTTTTTTAATAAAACTTTATTGTCAACTTAAAACACAAGTGAAAGCTTATTAGAACAAAAACTTCATTATAATGAACTAGTTCTTCTGCCATAAAAGGTTCATTTTGTTGAGGATTCACTATATATACTTTTATTATTATTATGGATTTTTTGAGTTATACTCTGTTGACACCAGTGGCTATGTACTATGCCAGACCAGAGTCAAGGCATAGTAACCAAAACAAGACAAAAATTAAATAAGTGTGTCAGTGTATGTGTCGGTATTCAGTAATTTCCTAACAATATGACATGTATTCAATATAGCGGCCTTCTGTAGTGTAATGTGTGTATTTCTATTCAATTGTAATGTTCCCAGACTTTTGTGTAGTGTGTGTGTGTGGTATAACACCTGTACAGGAGAGAACAACAGGTGTAATAAGCACCCTTTCCATCCTCCACAGATGCCTTATTTCCTGGGCGAGTTCTGTGTACTTGTTATTTTTTTCAGTGCATGTGTTTTGTACATTGTGAGTGTTTGGAATGGCTATGTCTATAATGTATGTGATTTTATTGTGTTTGTCAATGAGTGTGATGTCTGGTCTGTTGTGGTNATCGTTAAAAATTAGAAAATTAAGCCTCGTTTAAATACTGGCTCCCTTTCATGGTCGAATGAGTGTTGCCAGCTAAAACACGTAAAAATAATATTAAAGTAGCCCAGACATAGCCAAATATTGTAGCGTCACATCACTAGCGGACATTTGAATTTGCCGACTAGAACACGGTCGGTTAACCGAGGTGACGGTTAATCGAGGGTCAGATAATCGATGCTCTACTGTATTAGTTTAAAAGATTTTTAAGTTATTATTGATATTGATGAAATATTGGTAAATTGAATAAGAAATTTTATTTATTTTAGTTATTAAAGGTAAGTCAGGAAGGAGACTATGTTGGTAGAGCTATATAATAAAATTTTACACTTACTCTCTTGTTGTTTGATCAATTCTGCACTTGTGTTGTCACACTGTATGTTTTGTATTCTATAGCATCTATTTCTTAGTTATAATGTTTATGTAAATTATTATTTTTGATATATTTATCAGAGATAACAGCAATTACAATATTTTAAGAATTATACATCAATTATAAATTAGTCTCTCTATAAATAGTTAATTATTGATATTTAATTTTNATACATTATTAGTATAGTATATTAGTATATCGCTATTAACCTACTTCGCGTTGAATTTTCCTCCATGTTAAGCCTATCAAATTTTTTTAAAAAATAATAATCATCGCTATTGTATTGTTAAAAATTAGAAAATTAAGCCTCGTTTAAATACTGGCTCCCTTTCATCGTCGAGCCAGTGTTGCCAGCTAAAACATGTAAAGTACTATTAAAGTAGCCAAGACATAGCCAAATATTGTAGCGCCACATCACCAGCGGACATTTGAATTTGCCGACTAGAATGGTCGGTTAACCGATGTGACGGTTAATCGGGGGTCGGATACTTGATGCTCTACTATATATGTATGTTAGATTTCAGTAGAATTAATACATAAGTATTTAAGCAATTTCTAATTGTCAAAATATTTAGTTTTTACTTTTATAATCCACGAAAACCTTTTTGTACAAGTGTTATGTTCTTAACTACTCCACAAACGCTTTCAACCTCCACCGAGGTCTGCTTCAGGTGGTGACTGACTGTCGTAACCCTCCATAACCGATCACATCTGACCCCTGAAGGACTGGGAGATTTATAAAGCTAACTGTTGGGGCACCTGCATCAACAACAAAGATGGTGAAATGATCGCACGGGCGTCGAGGTATTTGTTCGAGGAATTCGAACAGGAACAGGGACAGAGGGGTGAAACCTGATGCGCATGATTATTTACATCTCTGGCAACATCGTTATGACGGTCAGGAAGAAACATGGTCAGTCACCACCTGAAGCAGACCTCGGTGGAGGTCGAAAGTGTTTGTGGAGTAGTTAAGAACATAACACTTGTACAGAAAGGTTTTCGTGGATTATTATTACTCAACAAAGTGTTAAGTTGTTGGAAGTCATTTTGTTTTACTTTTATTTCATTATTTCTTCAGTAATATTAATTAGCATTAATCCTACAAGTTTCAGTTATATTTATGAAATGTATTGAAATGTAGCTGACATTTAATAGAAAAAATATAATTCTTGAGTTGTATTTATTAAAAATATTTTCATATACAGTAAATTGTTTTAACATTATCTGAAATAAATGCAAAATTGTATTACATACAGTATCTTGTTTTTTTCAATTTCCTCCATGTTTGACTTTATAAGA